ACCTGTCTAATATCCTTTCCCCTCTTTCAGAGGAAGCTGCTGGCCGGCCTTTTCTATTCTATGCACATGAAAAAAACCAAAGCAACCCAATAACAAATCCAAAACACCAAAGCCAAGTGACTCTTTTTTTTTTTTTTTTTTACATTGATTGAGGCCATTATTTCTTTAAAATAAACTTTGTTTTTGAAATCAAACCTACAAAGAAATGCATAATACCTGCATTTACAAGTTAGCACTGGTTGTGAAGTGTTTACTTGGTAACCATCCCAACACATACTGTTGGCATCCAGTGGCTTCCTCCTTTTTACAATTATAATTACACATCTTAATTTTCAAATCTAGTTTTTTTCTAATTATATATATGTATATGTTCGTATATTCATATATGTATTATTATTCTCACATAAAGTTTGGAAAATGCTAAAATAAAATAAATAAACTTACAATCCTGCTATGTAGGCATAACCCCAGTTAACATTTTATTTTTATTATTTTTTAAATAAATATTTATTATATTTTTAGGTGTAGATGGACACAACATAATGCCTTTATTTATTTTTTTTAGAGAATTTTTTAATATTTATTTTTCAGTTCTCGGCGGACACAACATCTTTGTTTGTATGTGGTGCTGAGGATCGAACCCGGGCCGCACGCATGCCAGGCGAGCGCGCTACCGCTTGAGCCACATCCCCAGCCCTGCCTTTATTTTTATATGATGCTGAGGATCGAACCCGGGTCTCACCCGTGCTAGACGAGTGCTCTACCACTGAGCCACAATCCCAGCCCCAACATTTTATTTTTTTAATTTAATTTTTGTGTGTGTGTGAATGACCAGAATGCCTTTATTTTATTTGTTTATTTTTATGTGGTGCTAAGGATTGAACCCAGTGCCTCACACATGCCAGGCAAGTGCTCTGCCACTGAGCCACAACCCCTGCCTCCCAGTTAACCTTTAAAAAAAATTTTTTTTAGATGTTGATTGACCTTTATTTTGTTCATTTATTTATATGTGGTGCTGAGAATTGAACCCAGTGCTTCACACATGCTAGGCAACTGCTCTGCCACTGAGCCCTAACCCCAGCCCACCAGTTAACCTTTTGGTGCATTTCCTTCCATTTTTCCCCCCTTTGAGTGTGAGAGTTGATTACCCTGAGTAATGGCAATGACTGTTTTATAAGTGGTTCTTGGATCTTGGATCTTGGCATTGATTAGTCTTGGATTGAATTTATATGGGGAAAAGAATTCAGGGTGATTCTTCCTTAGAGTTAAGAAGAGATAAGCTGAAGTGAATAAATGACTTATTTGACTGGATTAGGACAGAAGGTTTGAATATACTTATGGTTTGAAGTTGTATGGAATGATATATTGTTCTTTAATCTATCTATATATTTTATCTATATTCATATTATATGCATATGTATCTGCATATCTATTTCTGTCTATATTTGAATATATTCATCTATCGAGGGCGTGTGTGTGTGTGTATGTGTGTGTGTGTGTGTGTGTGTGGTGCTGGGGATTGAACCCAGGGCCCCACACATGCTAGGCAAGTGCTCTACCACTGAACTAACATCCCTTGCCCTTCATCTATCTTGTAAAGTTGTTGAGATCATGCTATTTATGATGATTTTATCCTGTTTCATTAATATCACATCATTATCACATCATAAACTCCAAATTTATAAAAACAAATAAAAACAGAATTAAAAGACTCTAAGAAGGCATTTTACCCTTTTGTACTTACCCTTTCTTTTTGATGAGGTCATTATGGCTCCTACTTGTAAGGCTAGTACTAGTCGTGAGACAAGTGGTAAGAAATTGTGGTATCTGTCAAGCCCTTATTAAAAGGTGGCTCATACTTTCCAGGAAATAAGTACACCAAGATGAAAAGCAAGATGCCCCTCATGTCAGGGGACATCAGAGGAGACAGCTCCTTCTGTGGTCTGTGGCACAGTTTTTATTTATTTATTTATTTATTTATTTTAAAGAGAGAGAGAGAGAGAGAGAGAGAGAGAGAGAGAGAGAGAGAGAGATTGAAGAGAGATTGATTTTCGGCAGACACAACATCTTTGTTGGTATGTGGTGCTGAGGATCGAACCCGGGCCGCACGCATGCCAGGCGAGCTCGCTACCGCTTGAGCCACATCCCCAGCCCTGTGGCACAGTTTTTAAATGTTACAACTTTTGAGTTTATTCAATAAGTATTGGAGGTGGAGGTGCTCGGTGATGCACACCTGTAATCCTAGCCCCTCCGGTAGTAAACAAAGGTAGCGTGCTAGGCCAGGAATAGCTTCCTGCTATATTCAAATAATTTTTCAAGAATCAGCAAAGCTCATTATTTTGGTGTATGCTAGGGCTAATTATTTTACTTGACATATTCTTAAAATAAGAAACTTGAAATTTTAAAAATTTTTTCAGTGTCAAGGATCAATCCTTATACATATTAGGTAAATACTTTATCACTGAGCTACACTCCCAGTCCCCAAATTTAAAATATTTTAATAGGAAATGCACATGTAGAACAAAAAATGTAAAAGGTACAAAAGGACATATAAAATACCTCTGCTTCATACTTTCATTTCTTAGTACCTGACCTAGCAAAATTTTCTATCAGAAGACTCATTTTTGATTTCTCTTCCTCAACAATTCACCAAAATCAGCCAGAGCTATGTAGATACAATTACATAATTAAATCACTGAGCAAAGAACCACCACCAAGTATATTGAATGCAATGGTAGGATATCAGGTTTCTAGGGACAGTTTTCTAGGGTTTGCTTCCTTCTGTCTAAAAGTATAAAAGTTATACTGGAAGCCAATGGACAATGCCCAACACTGCTGATATATAGATCCTGATTTTTTAATTTATAAATTTAAAATATAATAAAATTAACATGCTATTGTTAAAAAGTCAGAATAGTATAATAAGATATTTAATTAAAAAAATGAGTCTTCTCTTATTCCAGGCCCAGTTCTACTCCCCTCTCCCAGAAATAGCCCCCCTTGTAATTCCTTGTGCTTCCTTTCAGAAATCTTCCATGTAATGTACATAAACACTTTTACATCATCCTTTTAATAAAACAAATGGAAATGTATTTAAGAAGTTTTTGTTATCTGAGGATAGCTGGACTTGAAAAAAAATTTCACCTAAAGTAAACCCACTTAAAATTAGGATCACTGTTCATAGTAAACATTGATTGAAATCCTGCTTTCTGTCATGAATTTTATTAAAAAGAGATGTATAATCCAGAATTTTAATATTTGCCAAATCTGCATTGATCATGGCTAGGTGGGAGGATCACAACAGTACATGTGGCAATAGCAGTGTCTCTTAGTACATTTCATGATGCTTCTTAGTAGAATATCTGAGATTGGGTCATTTATTCAGAATGAATTTTTATTTTGTGCAGTTCTGAAGGCTAGGAAGTTCAAGGTCCTGGGGCTTACCCTGGAGAGGGTCTGCTTGCTGTATTATCCCATGGCAGAAGTAGGCAAGAGAGAATGAGAACGCAAGAGGGAGACCCCTTGCTTTCATAACAAACCTACTCTTGAGATAACAATGTTAATCCATTCATGACGGCTTTGCCTAATTACCTCTTACTGGTCCCATCTCTTAACACCATTGCACTGGGGATTAAGTTACCAACATATTGCCAGGCGTAGTGGTACATGCCTGTAATCCCAGCAGTTTGGGAGTCTGCGGCAGGAGGATCCTGAGTTCAAATCCAGACTCAGCAATATAGAGAGGCCCTAAGCAACTCAGGAAGACTCTGTCTCTAAATAAAATATAAAAAAGAGCTGGGGATAGGGCTCAGTGGTTAAGCACCTCTGAGTTCAATCGTTGGTACAAAAAAAAAACAGTTTCCAACATATGAAATTTGGAGGACACATTAAACCCCAGCAAGTAGGTACAATAGTAGTAGTTACAATAGTAGTTAATTGAATCTCTTCTTGGCTCTATTCTCTCTCTTTTTATTTTTTTAGTAAAATATACATAACATAAAATTCACCATTTTAATCATTTTAAAGTATACAATTCCAGTGCATTAACTATGTCTACAATGTCATTCATCCATTGCCACTTTCTAGTTAACAAAACCTTTTCATTACCCCAAAAGGAAATCTATTAGCTTCCTATTTCCCTTTCCTTCCAGTCCCTGATAACTACTAATGTGCTTTCTGTCTCTATAAGTTAGTCTGTTCTGAATATTTCATATAAGTAGAATCATACAATATGGGACCTTTTTGATATGGCTTTCACTTAGTATGTTCTCAGAGCTCATACATTATAGCACATATTAGTACTTCATTCCATTTTATGACTAATATTTTATTTTGTGTGTATACCACCATTTTTGTTTATCTACTCTTCAGTCGATGAACATTTGGGTTGTCTCCATCTTTTGCCTACTGTGAATAGTGCTCCTATGCACGTTTGTGTACAAATTTTTTTTTGAACATCTGTTTTCAATTATTTTGGGTCTATATCTATGAATGGAATTGCTGGGTCATATAGTAATTCTGTGTTTAATTTTCTGAGGGACACTTCATTATTATTATTTAATGATGCTGGGAATTGAACCCAGGAGTATCTACCACTGAGCTACATCTTTAGCCCTTTTTATTTTGATTTTGAGATAGTGTCTAAGTTGACCAGGCTGACCTGAACTTGTGATCCTCTGTCTCAGCCTTCCCAGTAGCTGGGATACAATTGTTGTATTGAATTGTTGATTGAATCTCTCTATTGTTGGTGGCTTTGCTGTGTATCATGATATGACTTCTTGTATTGTTACTCTTCAAACTAGCAGGAATCACTCAATTATTATTTGGGGATTAATTAGTATCTGGATTAATCATGAATATCTGGTTTATTGGGTCAAGTCAATTTGTTCTGTTAATTGGTACTATAATGGTAGGTCAGGTGTTATACATATTGAACTTTAAATATAGAAAGCCATATGATATTGACTTATTATTTATGTGTCTGCTTTTAATTAATTTAGTCAATGCATTGGGCTGTCAAAAGTAAAAAAGACCTGATGCTGGAAGAAGCTGAGCAGACTCAGATCAGCAAGACTAAAAATGAAGAATGGAGTGAGCAAAGAGAAATAAAGAAAGAGGAACTGGGTTCAACCACAGAGAAAATGAAGCAAAAAGCACCCGAGTCCCTCGAGAAGTCAAACTCTCCACAAAATCCAGAGTCTCCAAGTAAGTCCTATCATTATATCTTTGCAGAACATAGTAGGTCTGAAACTGGAGAGCTTGGTTTACATTGCATTTATTCTAAACCGTTTCCAATCTGTACAGTAGTTCCAAACTTAAGGATTGGTTTAGTATCTCAAAAGATACTTAGCATTGATACATAAAGTGGAAAGTACATAAATTCCTCCAAAGGAGACTTTCTCATAGTGTCTTTTGCTTTAATGAAATAACACCAGCTAACATTTATTGCATGTTCACTATGTGCAGGAACATTCTTTATATATACATATATTACTTTATATCATCATCTCATTTTAGTTGGCATGTATTAACTTACTAATCCTCACTACAAATTTGGGAGTCTTGTGCTATTATTAGTATCTCATTTTTATGAGAGAACTAGCCCAGAGAAGTTGAGTAATTTGCTCAAGACTATACAGCCTGTATGTGAAGGGGTTTGAACCAAGGTAGATTGGCTTCAGAGTCTGTATTCCAAGGCACTGCACTATTCTGAGATGGTACCTCATTTCTAAGTAGCCCTATAACCAGTACAAATCACTTATAGAGCCACTGAAGCAAGGTATTGCAGAAGTTTAACTGCTGGCTCCCAAGCTGCGGTATCTGAGCTCACAGTCTAACTCTACTACTTATTAACTGTATTTCCTGGCAAAAGAAATTTAATTTCCCTAGACCTCAGTTTCCTCATCTATAAAAAGGAATTATAATGATACCTTCTCATGAAATAATGCTAGGTGAAGTTAGCCAAACCCCCCAAAACAAACTCTGAACGTTCTCTGATATAAGTTGACTGACCCATAACGGGGTAGGGAGGGGGAGCATGGGAGGAACAGACAAACTCTAGATAGGGCAGAGGGGTGGGAGGGGAAGGGAGAGGGCAGGGGTTTAGCAAGGATGGTGGAATGTGATAGACATCACTATCCAAAGTACATGTATAAAGAAATGAATTGGTGTGAACATACTATACAGAGAGATAAAAAATTGTGCTCTTTATGTGTAATAAGAATTGTAATGCATTCCACTGTCATGAATTTAAAAAATAAAATCAATTAAAAAATACCTTCTCATGAAGTTACCATGGAGATTAAATGGGGAGATCTATGCACAGTGATTTGCCTATTATAGGCTTTGAGTAAATGTTAACTATCATTATTGTGTCTTTGTCTATCTAGCCATCCAACTGTATTAACTATTTTAGGTATGTTATATACACACACACTGTAATTATCTCAAATCCTTACATGTTGATTCTTCGTGGTATGATGCAATATCCCATTAAAATTTGGCCTTTAAGCCAGGTGTGGTGGCACACGTCTGTAATGCCAGTGGCTTGGGAGGCTGAGGCAGGAGGACCGAGAGTTCAAAGCCAGCCTCAGCAAAAGAGAGGTGCTAAGSAACTCAGTGAGATCCTGTCTCTAAATAAAATTCAAAATGGGGCTGGGGATGTGGCTCAGTGGTCAAGTACCCCTGAGTTCAACCCAGTACCAAAAAAAAAAAAAAAAAAAAAGTCTTTAAGCAGAAGATTCTTGAACACTCTTGAATCTTTGAATACTGACTGGTATAAAAAGAAATAATTAAATAGCTTGTGGTAAATGATAATATTTCCAGAAATAGTTACTTTAAATTTTTCTTTGGGAGAACTTTTACATTCTCTGTACTTGCTGAAATGAGGATTCTTTGCGTTTGATTCAGATATCTCAGCTTGTTATCAAGAGATCTCTGTAAAGTAGGCATGTTGATTGCATCAACCTCACAATTAGAAATAGTTATAATATAGTTATAATATAACAAACTTGATCAAAGCAGAACCTGATTTCACAAACCTGTGTTTTTAAAAAAAATTTTTAGTTGTAGATGGACACAATACCTTTATTTTATTTATTTATTCTTATGTGATGCTGAGGATGGAACCCAGGGCCTCACATGCCAGGTGAGTGCTCCACCACTGAGCCACAACCCCAGCCCACAAACCTGTGTTTTAAGCAAGCACATGTATATAAACATACCACCTTCCCGCATACACATAGAGAAACAAATGAGCAAATATCTTTTCTTTCAGACCTGTAATGTTCAATTTTGTGCATCCAGAAGCCCTGGATCTTTCCATTTCAGATTCAGACTTAGACTGCATTTACCCACCAGAATGGGGTGAGGAGGTTGGACATTTCAGGAAACTCAAGCATGATGCTGAGGAACCACTTGAGTCTCTCTCAAGAATTCTAGGAAATTTTCTTTTTTAAAAAAATCAAGTAATATAAGCCTATTGTAAAAAGTTCAAAGAATCACCGATAAGTAATAACTTTGAGTTTCCCCCAGTCTGCTGACTTCCTCCGCTTCTACATCCTGAAGTAACTGATGTGGATGCTCAGGCATGTCTCCTACACTGTTCTCTATGCTAATACAAGTGTATGTAAGTACATGCACTTTTATAAAATTTTTAAAAATAAAGAAGGTGTCATACTTTGTATGAGTGTTTATATTGCACAGTGTTCAGAAGTGCAGACTTTGGAACTAGATCCCAGTTTCCCACTGATGAGTTGTATGACCTTGGGGAAACTGGTTAACCCCTCACTGTCTGAGTTTTCTTATCAATATAATGGTTGAAATATTAGTGTTTACCTTGTAAGGTTTTCTTGAGGAGTGACAAATTTAATATATGTAAAGTATTTAGAATAGTGCCAAGCACTTGGTAAGTGCCATTATTAGTGTTAGCTCTTATCATTATGGGACTTTTTCTTAGATCCTTATGTCCCTAATGGATTTGCTCTTCTTAACAGCTGATAATATTCCACAGTGTAGATATATCATAATTTACTCATAACAAATTATGAGGACAGTTTTGATGACCTCATATTGTGAAGTATATATACTTATTGTGGTTGAAGAAAAAAAATGGAGGGGATAAGGATCATTGTTCTGAGAAGTTGTTGTTGGAGAAGAATGATGAAATTCTGCCAAAGGCTGCATTTATCAGTATTTTCTTTTTTTTTTCTTAATTTCTTTTAGTTGTTGATAGACCTTTATTTCATTTATTTACTTACATGTGATGCAGAGACTTGAACCCAGTGCCTCACACATGCTAGGCAAGTGCTCTACACTGAGCCACAACCCCAGCCCTATCAGTATTTTCTTTTTTTTTAAAAATTTTTTTAGAGAAATTTTTAATATTTATTTTTTTAGTTTTCAGCAGACACAACATCTTTGTTTGTACGTGGAGCTGAGGATTGAACCCGGGCAGCACGCATGCCAGGCGAGTGCGCTACCGCTTGAGCCACATCCTCAGCCCCAGTATTTTCTTAATCTCTTATTGGTTTAAGAGATTATTGGTTCTTCAGAGCCTTGGAGTTGGAGTTTTATGTATAAAAGTGCAGTTGTATGATTATTTATAATTTCATTATGCTGCAGTGTAAATTTTTGTAAAATCAGCATTTAAGAAATTATTATGTCAGCTTTATCAAACCTTAAGTGGCTTCTCATATATTACTTTTCAGCATGTTTGTTAATATCTGCAAGCAGTGCTTGATATTTACCTTTAAGTTTTCCTTATGATGCTTATTCCATGATGAACAGCCACCAATAGTCCCCATTGCATTCTGACTCTTCATGCGTTAGACCATGTATAAGTTGTATAAGACAATTTCACTTCTTCTTTTAAAATTTGCCATGCATATGTCTTTTGATAATTACAATTCTAAAATCAAATAGTTTTGTGTAACATTCTGGAATGATAACAAAAAAATTCAACGCAGATGCTGTTTGCATGTCACCATATCCCTGGGTACCTACCTGCTCAGGCATTGCCAACACTATGCTCTCTACCACAAATACTGACACCACCAGAGGACTTTCCCTAGCAATGGAGCCTGCCTGGCAGCAAATGAGCAAGTAATAACTGCCAGGGAATCAACACCCTTTGGATGTAGCCATCAGGCAATGGATGGGACTGGGAGGCTGAGTTCCTCAGCTCCGTTATCCTTCATTTAGAATAACTCTAAGGGTTTTTATATTGTTTCCCCGGGATTCCCCAGTGGGATCAGCTCTGGTCATTTAGGGCAATAACTTGTTTGATAATGTTTACAGTTTTGGTTCCCTTTCCCATTTCCTTACCAGGGTGTCCTAGAATCAATTCCTACATTATTAACTTTGGTTTGAATTCTTGCCTGCGTGTCATTTTTAGGGGAACCTAAACCTGAAACTGTGTCTTTCTAAAACTACAAAAATGACACTTGTTTACTGTAGAAGAAAATACGGTCAAACAAAGAGAAAAAAATAGTAACTTGTAATCTTATCACCCAGAAAATATCTATAAGAGTTTGCTTTATTTTCATTTATATTTGTATACCTAAAACTAATAAGATAATGCTATGTATATTTTGTGAGTTTTTTGAGAGTTATAGGTTGTCAGAAATAGTTTCCTTTTTCCTCAAATGGAAAGTCTTTGGATTTTTAAAAAGTCTTTGATTCTAATTTGTTATATATGACAGCAGAATGCATTACAATTCATATTACATATATAGAGCACAATTTTTCACATCTCTGGTTGTATATTCACACCATTCATGTCTTCATACAAATACTTAGGATAATGATATCTGGGTTTATTTTGTAAGATAATTGTTTTAAAAGTACACACAAATCCTCTTTTCCTGATATAAACACTGTAAACTATTCTGTGTGTATTTTTTCCTGACTCAACATTTTAAAATATCAACAGAACTATATTTGACACATTATTCTGTAAACTGCTTTTTTTTTTTTTTTTTTTTTTTAAATTGGTACTACCAGGGCCTCATGCATGCTAGGCAAGTGTTCTACAATCAAGCCTCATTGCAGGCCCTATTTTTAAAATTTTGAGACAGGATCTCACTAGGTTTTTCAACTTGGATGTGAACTTGTGATCCTCTTGCTTAGCCTCCTGAGTCACTGGGATTACAGGTGTGCCACCAATGCCTGGCTTGTAAACTGGTTTTTTTTTTTTTATTAGCAATAAACATAAAAAAGGCACAAAAGCATACTTTTTATTGAAGAAAATAAGAAAGTCCAGATAAATTTAGATATTATAAAAATGAAAATTACATCTATTCTAACTATTCAGGGAGAAATACTGATAATATTTGGTGTTAACATTTCCCTTTTAGAGTTTTAAAAAATTTTACATTAATACCTATGTAAATAATGGATTAGAAAATGAGATYATCTCATATAAACTGTTTTCTAATTATCTGTCACTTACAAATATTCCACGAGAATTTGTTTATGATAATAAATATTTTAAACAATTGTCAGGGTTGGGGTTATAGCTCATTGGTAGAACTCATGCTTAGCATGTGTAAGACCCTGGTTCAAAAAAATTGTTAATGACTATATTAAAGCCTTTTAATCAACTTTCTATTGCTGAAGATTTTTGAATTGTGAATGCTTCTTGAATTAAAAAAAATATATAGGGCTGGGATATAGCTTAGTGGTATAACACTTGCCTAGCATGTGTATGCCCTGGGTTCAAATGCTAGTACAGGAAAAAAATATAAATGGTATCATCATAAATATTCTTATATTTTAGCCCTTGGGGATATCCATTATTATTTCCTTAGGATGTAGAATTTTTAGAAATAGAATTATTGGGCAAATAGTTTATACATCTTAACAAGTCTGATAAATAATGACAAATTGCCTTCCTGAAGATTTTTGTTTGTTGGTAACAGGGATTGAACTCAGAGGTACTTGACCACTGAGCCACATCCCCAGCCTTTTTTTTTGTATTTTATTTAGAGACAGGGTCTCACTGAGTTGCTTAGCACCTCACTGTTACTGAAGCTGGTTTGGAACTGGCGATTCTCCTGTCTCAGCCTCTGGAGCCAATGGGATTACAGACGTGCACCACCATGCCTGGCCTTCCTGAGGAGTTTTATCAATTTATACTTCTTCCAGTAGAGAAGGACAATAACCTTTTCTTCAGTTTTCAACAATGTTGTTTATTGAAATTAAAAAAAATCTCATTACCCTGGAATTCAATTGCTTATATTTCCAGGGATACTTTACCATTGACCTTTCACTTTTTGAAAAGTTTTTGAAAGTTGTGTGAAATTTGTTTAATCTTTGTAAGTGACTTGTTTAAATTCCCATTACTGGAGAGGATAACTATTAATCATTTAAACATGTGATGTCCTCGGACATGTATGTTGTAATTCCTGTTCATAAGAATTTCAGTCTGCTTAAATTAATCTGCTTCTGTAAAAAATTAATGACTCATACTGACTACTTACCCTACATATGTTGCAGTGAAATCTTATCTCCTTGCTGTTTACCATTATAGATAAATGGTCTTTACCTTTTTCTTTTCCTACCTCACTCTGATTTTAACTATTGCTTTTCTCTCTTCTAAAGGTTTCTCAGATGTGAACTCTTGGCACCTTCGTTTCCGCTGGTCGGGGGATGCTCCCTCAGAACTCCTGAGGAAGTTCAGAAACTATGAAATATGAAATGCCCTTGCTCCATAGAAGAGGGAGAGCAGGATGTTGCCTGTACTGCCAACATGCAGTCTTCATTCATATCTTAACAATGTCATGTTTATGAATCACTTATGACTGACTGATTCCTCCATCTTTGAACCCATTCTCACAATGTGTTTTGTTATTGTTGTTGTTTGTATTTTTTTGGTGCAGGTGATTGAACCCATGGTCTAGGGGACTGAACCCACTCTTTACCACTATGCTATATCCCCAGATACAAAATGTGTTCAGTGAGAAATTTTTAGAAGACTAATTTATTTCAAAATTTGAATAAATTAAGGCTCTTAGATCCAAGTAGGTTGTATTATTATGTGTTCTTCTTTTAATACTATTTAYAGAATTCTATTTGAAAATCAATCTCAGTATTTAAATATTTCATTGATATACCATGATCTCTATTAGTGCTGGATGTACAAAAAATGTTTTCTCTTTTTTTTTGGGGGGGGGTACCAGGGATTTAACTCAGGAGCACTCGACCACTGAGCCATATCCTCAGTCCTCTTTTGTATTTTATTTAGAGACAGGGTCTCACTGAATTGTTCAGTGCCTCGATTTTTGCTGAGGCTGGCTTTGAACTCTAGATTCTCCTGTCTCAGCCTCCTGAGTCAATGGGATTACAGGCGTGCATCACTGTGCCCTGCTGTTTTCTGACTCTTGACTTAAAAAATGAAATGTGAAATATACTTGTCTAAACTCCATGGAGTGAAATAAATAATTTCCCCAAAGTTCCTAGATGCATTCACCATTCAACTCTATTTTAAAAATAATTTAATAGAAGGGAAACTAGCAGAGTAGAGGAAAGGGACCAGGAGAAGAGAGGAAGGGAGGGAAAGGGGACATTCTGGGGAATGGTATTAGCTGAATTACACTGTTATATTGTGTGAATATGTAACAACAAATGCCACTATTGTGCATAATTATACCAGTAAAAATATGGAAAACAAATAAAAGCAATTAGCAAAGGGACAGTTCAAAAAATTTGAATAGTTATTTTTACTTGAATAATTCTGAATTTGAAAGGTTATGATTTGAAGGAATGTTATTTTTACAAGGTTTCTTGTGTTACGTAAGTGAGTGACAAATTTATAAATTATGTTCTAACTATGAAAATAGGTCTGTCAGGTAGCAGGATCTTATTAAGTTAGATGTAATCTATGTTCTTTACTTTTTGAACAAATGAATGAAAAATTCAGAAGAAAAAGATTTTAGAGTTGGGTTTCCTTCGTCAATGACAGAGTTTTCACTGATATACAGCAAAATAAAAAAAATAAGAACATAGCAAGTGCTATGGTCTGTATGTTTATGTCCTCTCTCTCCCCAAATTCATATGTTGAAAAACTATCCCTCAACTCTGTGATGGTTTTATAAGGTGGGGACTTTGGAAGTTCATTAGGTCTTGAAGGCAGAGCTTTCACAAATGAGATTAGTGCTCTTATAAAAGAGGAGAGAAAAGAGAAACAGCTAGATAGATTCCGTGAGTCCCTTCTAGTATAGCCAGAAAGCACCAACTGTGAACCAAAAAATGGGTCATTACCAAACACTTAATTAGCATTGATCTTAGACTTTCAGTCTCTAGAACTGTGAGAAATAGATTTCTGTTGTTTATAAATTACCCATATTATGCTTTTTGTTATGGCACCTTGATAGCAAGGCTTGTTACCAGTGAAGGCCCCTTTTGGCTGCTGCACAGTATGCCAATCACTGAAACAATGAGTTTTGCAAAATAGAATTTATTCCCAAGGCAACCAAGCACTGAGTTGAGAGATCCAAGTCTCAAATCTGCTTCTTTGAGGATAGGGTTTAGGTATATTTTGGGGCTAAAGAAACAGGGTTGTAGGGGAAAGTGATTGGAGGTGATAAGTGGTTTGTTCATGCATAATAAAATTTCATGGCTCTTCATGGGATGCATATTCAGAAAATGGAGACATTGGCATGATCTGACCATAGTTTTTGATTTCCTAAGGTCAAAAGATGATCCATCAGACATTTGCACAGGACCAAGTGAAGAGTCAGTCAGTGGTTTCAACAAAAGTGGCCTTTAAGTCCCTGAGAAGTAATCTAGGTAACTATTATCATCACAAAACTAGTGGGAGATTAATAATATATTGCTCAGCTGCATGACCTCCAAAATCGATGATTTTTAGTTGTAGGTGAACACAATACCTTTATTTTATTTTTATGTGGTGCTGAGGATCAAATCCAGTGCCTGACACTTGCAAGGCATAAATTGGTGATTTTTTAAAGTCAACTAAAAGTAAGGAACTAAAAATAAGTGAGGCTAGAAATTTCCTTCAAGTTTTCCCTGGTTTCAGGCTGTCTGCTTTTCAGAAATGATATCTTTCCTACTACTGTGGTTTAAAATGTGTACTTTTATGAAATGGTGTCAAGAGTATATTGTATTAGTTTGCAAGGCCTGTCATGGTAAAATACCACAGACTAGATGACTTAAAACATTTCTCACATTTTGGGAGGGTAGATATCCAGGATCAAGATATTGGCACATTCGTTATTTTTCTGAGGCTACTCTTGGCTTGCAGATGGCCACTTTCTTGAGAGAGAAAAGTAAACAAGGCTGTGCTTAATCTTGTCAACAGTTGGGAAATGAATCTGTAACAAAAACAGAGTGGCACACTCACATGGCCTTTTCTCCATGCGTGCACGTTCCTGGTGTCATTCTCTTCTCTTATATAGACACCAATCATATGGGATAATGATCCAACCTCATGATCTCATTTTAACTTATTTACATCTTTAAAGAAGTTATCTCTAAATAAGATTTCATTTGGAGGAACTGGGGGTTGGAACATCAATGTCAATTTTAGGAGAATACAATTAAATTCATAGAAGAGGTAAAAACTTGTTATTTTTTGTGGTGCTGGTAATTGAACCCACAACTTTATGCATGTAAGGCAAACACTCTACCAATTGAGCTGTATCCCCAACCCTTGATTTCTTGTTTTAAGGTAGGGTCTTGCTGAGATTTCTAGGCTGGTCTGGAGCTTGTGATCCTCCAAGAGACTGGGATTTAGGTGTGTGCCGCTGTGCTCAGCAAAAAAAAAAAAAAAAAATTGTTTTTTAAAAAACTAGTATAACCTTGTATTGGTTTAATTTTATTTTAATTTTTAGCTGTTTTATTAAATCCAAAAGTCATAGTTTAGAGAATTTCTATCAATATTTTACTATTTTAATAAAACGTGGTTTGGCATTATTACCATATTTGCAAATTTTACTTCAAAAATAGAAAACACATGCAAAAAATATAGCACATTAAGTTAATGAAAGAAGCTTTTGGACAATAATTGCTGGTCATAATTCCTACCTGGCTCAGGTATGCATTCAAATAAACACTATATTGAATAAGTTAATTTTTAAAAAAATACTTTTTTTGAGTTGTCGATGGACACAATGCCTTTATTTTATTTGTTTATTTTTATGTGGTGCTGAGGATCAAACCCAGTGCCTCACATGTGCTAGGCAAGCGCTCTGCCACTGAGCCACAACCCCAGCCTTGAATAAGTGAATTTTTGAATCTGAGAATCAGCGTTTTATTTTTCCCCAAGACTGTCTTGATTCATAGCACTGATGACTTTTAATAACCTTTCAAAAGGAAAAACACTCCCACTTTGTGTGCCCCTCTGTTTTTGTAACAGACTCATTTCCCAATTGTTGACAAGATCGAAGAAGCACTCCCTGTTGTTTACTTTCCTTTTTCATGATGCCTGAAGCCTCCAAATAAGAAATGAGAAATAGCTACACTTTAATGGCAGTTTATGACCAGTTAGACTTGTGCTAAGCACTTCATATACTTGATTCCATTTAACTTAGTAGGAGACCTTTTACATGTAAACACTTGAATACTGGCACGAACTCAAGGTTTATAAAGGAAAAGGACTGTGCTCTGATAATGCACTTCTTTGAGTGGAAAATAAGAGAAAAACTGGACAACTTTTCTTCCATAATTTGTTTGAATTCACTAGCATATCTACCACAACCACAATCATATGTATGTGTAATTGCAAACTTGGAAAGCCACTTATTTTTGCATTGTGGCTCAGCTTCACATTATAGGGATTTGATTATGAAAAGATAATTTTCCATAAAGATTATTAAGCTCCTAAATCAGTTCTAAATGGTGAAGATAATTGGTTTCCCTTGTATTTGATACTGAACGAATGAAAGAGGCACAGTCTTCTTGAGAATCTAGTGTTATGTGCTAAATGTTGTGTTAGCATTTGTATAGAATATAAAAATGATTAAATCATGTTTATATTCTCAAGGATAGTTGATGATTGTAGTGAAGAGAGCTAATTGAATATCTATAGTTTAAGTATGTAGTGTGTTTAGAACATGACAAGTAAGAACTATGTGTATTAGTTACTATCCTTAGTATATTGTTATTTGTTAAGTCTCATGTGAATCAATTAACAGAATTTTGGCCTCTTTCAACTCCTTTCCTCCACTTCTCCATCTCAGAGACACTATTTCTTACACATTTTCACTTGGATATCCTGTACATGTGTTTCTGTTTCTGACATCAATTATAGCATATTATTTCTATAGTTGTATGGTTTTCATTTATTTAGTTAATACATTTTGGAGATTTTCCTATTTCAGTGTAAAAGCACTTTTTTTTGGGGGGGAGGGATACTGGGGATTGAATTCAGGGACACTCAGCCACTGAGCCACATCCTCAGCCCTATTTTATACTTTTATTTGGAGACAGGGTCTCACTGAGTTGCTTAGTGCTTTGCTTTTTCTGAGGCTGGCTTTGAACTCATGATCCTCCTGCCTCAGCCTCTTGAGCCACTGGGATTACAGGCATGCACCTATTTTATTCTTTTTACCTGCTGCATCAAATTCAATTGTGTGGATGAACCATAATTTATTTAGCATGTCCTATATACCACTTCAGACTATCTTTTCTTTCTTGCAATCACAAATATCACTATAATGAATAGCTTCATACAAAATATTCCTTACATATAAACTATACCTGTGAGGTAAATACCTAGCCCTGGACTTTCTGGATCAAAGGGTATATGTATGTACATTGAGAATTTGATTATCATAGTCTTAAGCACACTTCAAATGCAATTTGACAGGTTTCAAAGATCTAAGGGCCATTAGATGGAAAACAGAGGAAGTAGTGCTTTTCATGGGGATTCCTGCCTCCAGCTTTTTTCTCTCTAGGCTATATTTTGTTTCATGACTCAGACTGAAGTACTATGCTTATGGAACAATTCACACAGCATCTCCCCTAACACTGAATACCAGAGTGTCCAAAATATAAAGCAATAATAAAACCAGAGCTCACATTTCTCTTGGCACATTCCATAGAGAGAGGAGGCAAATAGGTGCTATGGTTTCTTGCCTTCTGGGTGTCCTGAAGTGCTAAAATATAATTCTGAAACATTTTTGTTCTTCTAAGTAAAGGGCAACTCAACAGAGCAACTCTGGGAAGCCTAGACAGAGTTCACAATT